TTGGCACCTTTCTTTCAGTGGCGGCGTTATCTAGGTCTAAAATTCTACTGCTGCATTGATGTAGCCTGTTTATCTGAGCGCTGCAAGATGTTAAACACAAAAGAAATGAACTAGAGAAGGAAGTGCTTCTTCTCTTGTGTAGCTGCACTTTGTTTCTAACCTGTTGGCAGCACCTCTTCTGTTTACTCAAGAAAAACTGCCACACTAATTAATGTCTCAAGGGTTACTGCAGTTTTCTATTAATATTCATACTATATAACAACAACAACAATAAAAAATACACATGCATATACCCACACAAACATTGCCACACACAGGGGTTTGAAAGGGGGGGGAAGGGAATATGCTGACTGTCCTTTTCCCTTCAAATATCGCAGTGTTTATGTGTAGCCTATTTATCGTGTAACAAATTCATACCATCAAGGAGTGACCAAAAGGTGACATCGCCCTTCCTAAGTGGAGTATTATGCATCATGCTGACACTGTATGCAATATAGAAAGTCACAGCTCACCCAGAGATTGCATTAACCCATTGATTTGTCTCCCGTGGTAAAAAGAGCTGCTAAGAGAAAGCTCATGGCACCTCGTAATGGTGTTTGTCAGTGAAGCCATACGACAGACCATCCTTTTCTTTTCATCATCTCTCATCCTCCCTCTCCTCATTATTCCTTGACCATTATGTGCTGGGCAAGTGTCGCTCTCTCTCCTCTTTCTCTCTCTCCACCTCTCCAAGGATACCAGTCGAATGATCCTGATGGTTTGCCACTGTGCACGGCTCATCCTGTGTTATATGACATTTTTGGTGTGAGCCTTCAGTGGAAGTGAGGGGTGTAAATAAAGGCAATTTATAGGAGGAAATAAAGTGATTATCTAGAGCAGGGGTGTCAAACTCAAATTCACAGTGGGCCAAAATTCAAAACTGGAACAAGGTCGCGGGCTAAAATTAATATTTATTGGAAAAAAATCTTCCTCCAGATTTAAGAATGAATCTCTTCTTATAGACTCAAACAAGTTTTGCTGAAAAACTGAATATGGAACAAGCGAAGCTTAATACTAAACAATATATATATTACCTGTATAATACCAGTAGGCCAGCTCTAATAATAATTTGGTATGGCTTCGCGGGCCAAATGTAATTTGGCCCTCTAGATCAGAGTTTGACACCTATGATCTAGAGGGTTGAAAGGTCGCATCAAGAGATTTAGGAAGAGTGCGGATGACCTAAAATCAATACAATGTAAACTGCAAATTATAAGCAACAAAGGAGGCAAACCTGATAAAACAAATAACCGAACAAATGAAAGTCGAGACTGTCTTTGTGTTAGGAGTGCTGTCCACTGCTATACTAACTTACAAGGAATCTCTTATTCTGTTCATGATGCTGTGGTGATATCACATCTTACACAGATGACTCAGAGGTGTTTCCCATCCAGTGACTCTGGGGATGCCCTACCCCCACCTTCAACAGGAAATGGGCAATATGACTCTATACAGCTTCATATGCACGTGCAGCGGAGCAAGACTAGCTTATTGGAAAGATGACTAAAGCGTGCTTGTTGAGCTGTTGAAGCCAAGAAGCAGCAAAGTAGATGGCTTGTTCGGCCCCCCCCTAAAGGGCTGCCTGCAACGTAGACAAACGGATACAAACCTGACCTTGTTGATTAACCTCATTTTCATTTTGAGCTGAAATCACAGAGGTAAAAAGGAGAGAGAGCGAGACCGAGCATGCGGAAGGAGAAACAATGAATTGTGTTATGTAAGTCCCTGTAAACAGGGCAATTAAAATGCAAATACATGGATACTCCAATTGTGAAGTGGCAGTCGGTTTCGAAAAAGCATCTCAAAATAAATCTGCTTATCTATTGCCTTTGCTTTTCTCTGATTTATTATTTCTATTGCTCTTTTAATTTTTTGTATGTTTACATTACTATTGTGCCATAGATGTACATCAATTTTTTATCTGTATTTTGAAGTGTTGCGCTTCTTTAACATCAACTGAGTCACTTTGTCTGTATTTACTGTATTTCAGCATTTATTAAACGTCTTCTTTCTGCTGTCGAAATGCGACATATAATAAAAATAAACAGTAGACATAGCCTATTTTATTTACACAAGACTGATACCACATGGGTTTCTAACTACTCCTTTATTCTTAAACTAGGGAGGTACACAGGAAAAATGGTTAGCAACACATTATTAGTAGCAGTATTAGTATATTTCTGTTTGTATATGTGTGTATGTTGGAACAACCTTACATATAACCAAATGATATATGTAAGGTTAATAGATTTTAAACAGTTATGTTTTATGTTTTCTTTCCTACTCAGCTTTATAACAATGAGTAGATCTGCAACAATCTAAGGTTAAGTATAATTCTGTTTATGGGTAGTTAATCCAAAGGATTAATTTGATTATGCAACAGAGACACCAGGAAATTACTGCACTGAACAAATTAATTAGCTGCTCAATAGTGAAGCAAAGCTAATTATTCAATCTCTGCTGACTGACTAGAGAAGGACAAGATGCAGTTGTAATGACTGAAAATACATCCTGGCTTTGTGTCATGCACAAATCATGAACAAAGAGAAGAAAGATTTATTATATTTCAAACATCTGTGGAATTTCCATTAAGAAATAGTTAAAAGGACAGAATGACTAAGGATAAAGCCCACTGGCAATACTGATTGGGCATAGAAATTTATAAAAGAAAATCAAGCAGAGTCAAAATACTTTAATAATCCCTAACAAAATTATGTGGGTTACAGTTATTCCAAGAAAAGAGTGAGGAATAAAGAAGAGAAGACAGGTTATAGATTTAAATGACACAGACACTTTTTTTTTACACTAACAGCTTGAACATCTCTCCGGTCTACAAACAGCAAATCTTCACTGTCGAGTAAAAAAACAGCATGTTGAGGCTTGAAGTTGTAGCCCAGGTATTTGGGCTTGGCCAGTAGGTGGGCCAAGGACATGCCCATACAAAAATATATATTAAAACAAAAACAATCCCAGAGACCAAAGTCAGCAAGAACAAACAACTATCTAAGATTGTGATATCAGTGAGTCAAAAGTCACGATGCTAAAGGCTATTATTAGGTTTTTGTAGACTAGAAAACAGGAAAGCCAAAGAACAGCTTAAGCGATCCATGTCCAATAAAAGTGCTCTTTCTAAATTTAAAAAAAGCCCCAAAACACTACAGGATAGCCTTGATCTTGATCTAGGACTTGATCACAGAGCAGTACTGGGGACAGGTTCAGACTTGATTTGTCAGGCTAGTAGAGTGATGTGTTACACACAAGTTTGTTTCTTCTTCCTCTCACATTTTCAGCTGAGAACATCTTAACCCAGCAAGAGTTGGATCAGCTGTACTGACCAAGTGTGTCTACACATACAAAGGGGTTTGGCTCTGGTTATTTCTTTGTTATCAGTGCACGTAGTAGAATATACAACAGACAGTTCTGACAGTAACAATAGCGGTTCATTCAGCAATAATCACAAATTGTTGTGCATTTGGAAATGCTCTTACTGTTACTATTACTGTTCCATAATTTCAAAACAATGTGGCCATTCTCCAGCAAGACATTTTTAGCCAGAGATTTGTTGCTAACTCAATATTTTCTTTTCTTCAAATCATTGTCTGTTAACTCTAGACATGGTTGTGTGGGGAACATCCCAGTCAATCAGTTTCTGAAATACTCACACCCGCCTGTCCGGCACCAACAAACTTGTCACATTTAAAGTCCCTTCAGTGACTTTTCTTTCTCATCCTTAGGTCTTCTTGACCATGTCTGCATTCCTAAATGCACTTAGTTGTTGCCACATCTTTGGCTGATTAGATATTTGCATTAACAAGTGGATGAACATGTGTACCTAACTGAATAGCCACTGATCATATATGCCACATGGATATGGGCACAGTGTCATTTTGCCTACTGACTTATGAGGTCAGCTTTCCCCCTGCCTCTGCCTCTTTCTCTTGGTTCAAAGAGGATAACAGCAGAGGGTGCCAGATATCAGAGGGTAGCTCTTTGATGCCAGTAGCCTTTCCATCAGGTCTTGCCCTTTAGCACACTTGATCAAAGTACATTTTGATCAAGAGCACACATTCTCACGGTGCTGTTTTGTACTCACAGTTTTCTTTAAGAGATTATTTACTGTAGAATTGGAGCCTATGGTGAAGAAATAAGAAGCCAAAGAGGCCATATTAAAGTAGATAACTGCATCATATATTCAGCTTGATGCATTATAATAATCTGTGCGGTTTCTTGTGGGTCAAAAATGTGTTTACAAATAAGCTAAGATATTTCTTCTTCCAGGAGGATGATCCTAATATATTTATTTATACCATAAATAAATGAGCAAGCGGAAAATGTCTGACACTGTAAAACTACTGGACATTATTACAATATTTATAAAGTTATAGCAATGTCACGTTAACCTATCCATAGCTAAAAATAACTAGTCAGCTGAGTTCAAATGATGAAAAAGGAAACATTTCCGGAAAATTCCCGGGAAAACCGGCTAACAGTTATTCTTGGAAGACAGGATTAAGTCTGCGTCTCAGTGAACAAGTTACAGTTTCTGTGTTTTTCAGCTATTTTGAAGCTTTAAGAAAAAGGAAATCAGCAATGGTGTGAGTTAAAGGGCTCATAATATTTCTATAAACCTAATTTTCTATACAGCATCTGCTGTTTTTTCTGTGGGCAATCAAAAGGTTGAATCAGGTCCAGCCACAAGTAGCGCAGGGCTATTACAGGATTATCGCATTGTTATTATATTGCATTGTACAGGTGTTGAGGTGTTGTGTGCAATACATACTTCCACATTGCTGCATTAGCCTTGCGCCTTTTTTTGAGCGGCGACGTGAGCTGCGCATGAAAGTAAAGTATGAGGGAAGTTCTGAAGTCTTAAAGCCGCAGTAAACACACTATTCCTTCAGGTAAGGAAGGGGTGGGGGATAGGTGGGAGGGGTCTTGCTCCTGGTGCAGGCTGACAGTTCTGTGTTATTGGCTGACAGCAGGTGAGAGACTCTTACCTGTACCCGAGAGAAGGAGTGCCAGTCGTCGTCGTCGTCGTCTGATTCCAAATCAGGATCTACTTTTTCTTCTTCCAGCCACCCAGAGAGGTAGAAATCGGCCAGGACCGCTGGGAACTGAACGAGCGACTGCAACAGGACTCCGAGCATGGAGCCTATAACGTCGTGGAGCGAGGAGAGAGTGAGCAAGTGGCTCCAAGGTGAGACACATATTGCTTTTCCTTGTCTAACGCCTTGATCACTTCACAGGTACTTTGGCTCGCACGGTAATGTTAGAAATAGAATCGCCACACAAATCCTCTTGGAGGTGGAAGGTGAAGGTGGAATGAGGAAGTGGCCCGTGCAGAGGGAGAAGCCAAAACAGTGTAGCTCTGATCAGTGTCAACAACTAAAATAGTGTCCTCATAAACAATAGTTTATATGAATGCTTGTCATGTACATTTAGATCTCGTCATATAAACAGGCCTCCTCAGTTGGTATGTTAAAGCGTGTTAAAGTAGTGGGGGAAAGTAACTGAGCACAGCTTTGAGGTAATTGATTAACTTTAATATTCTGAATTTATGGTAAGCTCCTTTTTTGTAATTATAAACATGTTACTTTTTTATGGATTACTGTTGACAAGGAGTCACTCTATATATTATACAGCTTGAACAGTAAAAGTACATTTTGCTGTAAATACTTTCATTTTAGTGTTAATTTAAAAGCAGTATTTGAGTATTTAAAAGCATATTAAAATATCCTTACATATTACTGATATATTGTAGTTATATATATACAGAAGTGTCAATGATTTCCATGCTTTAGAGATAATTCTAAATATCATGTTTTTGACTTGCGCTTTTTACTGATGTGGTTTTGATCATAAATCATAGCTTAATTTAATACACAGTTAATAGCACAGTTAATACACATAATACTGGTATTACTTTGGTACCACTATAGTGTTCAGATATTAGTAAACTACTCGTGTTTCACAGTCAAGTCTTTACTTTTTCAAACTTAATTACTCAACATGTGGTAGAGAAGAAGAAGAAGACCATTTTCAAGCCTGCACATGCACGGGACTTTATGAGTATGTGGACTTTTCCAGTTATACTTTTGCCATGTGTGCAGCTAAAGCCTGTTGTTTTTTGTGCCCTTCGGCAAGGTTTGGATACCCCACTGCATCAGTATCCAGTTGCACAGTGGCATCTATCAGGGGTGGACCTGCTCCAGTTGACTTCTCAGGACCTGGAGGCATTGGGAGTCCATAAGATTGGACACCAGGAGCTTATACTGGAGGCTGTGGAGAAACTGTGCTCTCTGGTGAGTGAGCAATGAGAATTACATATTATAATACATGTAGACAGTGATGGTGAGTGTATCTCTGAGTATCTCTTGTCATGTTTTTGCTGTGCTGCGGATTGTAACGGTGCAGTAATCATGCTATCATGTTCTGGTGGTGCGTATGTTCTGATACAGCAACACAGAGATATAATTTTGCCTCACTGCTGTGTTTTTACACCTTATTTTTGTTTGCACAGTGGAATGAGCAGCTGTTGGTCAATCGGTTGCAAATCTAGCCAGAACATACAGCCAGTACTTGACTTTTCTGTCACTTTTACAACAATCCAACATATCACAGTAAAGTACTTACTTTGGTTTTCTAGCTAAGATCAAAGGACTAGTCATGCATCAGCTGTAAGCAAAGCAGATTTAGAATACAAAAGCTTGGGCTTAATAGTTTGCATGCAAATTTTAGGGAAATCGTGCAGTCAACTAAAAAAAAAAACACTTATGCATTCCCTTTGATTCTCTATCCCATTTTTTCTGCTGCTTAATTATTTACCCTGCTTGTCCAATTTTAAGAGCAAGTTTTAGGAGACTTAAATTCTGTGTGCGTATGTGTTTGTGTGTGTGTGTGTCTGTGTGTGTGTGTGGAGGGGACTCCAGAATGGCCTTAGGACTAATTGAGGAGGACAGTACCAGGCCGGGTTCCAGCTCTTGTGGCGTAACAGCCTGTAAACATCAGCCTAAGACTCAGGCTGCTTAAACTGCCGAAATAACTAATACTGATTAGTCGTTACAACATGAACAGTTCAAACCCAAAGTCTGTGCGAATGAGGGTGCAACACTTAAGTAAAAGCTTTGCTTTTCAAGCTTCCATTATAGTGTGCATGTGGCTTCATGTGCCCACTTCCTCTCCTCCCTCCAGGACTTAATGCTCCACGAAGCGCTAACACTGCGCTCATTCATAAAAACACCCATCAGATACTCACATGGAGTAGACCAAACAGGTTCACGCGCATGGTTAGATAATTACCAGCTACAGTGTTGAAAAGGCCATGAAAAATTCATGGCCACTTGTTGACAGGCCCAGTGTTCCGGCTGGTTGTGTACCAACAAGCCTCTTGACCATGGGTGAGTGGGTCACGACAATTGCATGCTCCTCCTTCAGTGATTTTAAAGAGTCACGTCTCATGCTGCTGGCCAGCAAACTGTGATGACAAGCATATGATTGTATTATTATGTATTGATATTACTCTTTGTTACAGTGTAATCTATTTGCTTTTCTCCCCTTTTCACTTGTATTGCATTGTGCTGTGATTGATCATTTATGCAGTTAAGGGTTCAGGATAGACTGTTTATAAAATGCTGTGCTTCTTTTAAATTGCTCTGGGTGGATTAGATCCATGTGGGCAGTTTATGAAAAACAGGTGTTTAATGGAATTTTTAAATTACTCATTATGGTTCTTTATAATCGCTCAGACAATTGCTAAAATACCTAAAACAGACATGCATTTTTTCATAACAGCTGTGCTATAACACAATATCAATACCTTGACAAAAGATTACATATGAAATATACATACACAGAGTCATGAAGCGTAACCCTGTGAGAATAAAAGGTTTGAAGTTTGTCTTTGAATGTAGATACGGTTGTAATTGACCTCAGGTCAGACGAACATGCAGCTTGTTCCAAAGAAAAAAACCACAGAAACTGAAAGCACCCACACTTGTATCTAATTCTGGTTCTGCACCTGATGACCTGAGAGGTCTGATTGGGTAATAAACAATTCAATTGTCATGCTGGTAGTAAATGTTCGACAACAGTAACTTACATGGTCACTTTTTCACATATCTTAAAACAAAACAGGAAACAACACACATTTTTCCATCAACAAGAAATGCTGTATTTTGTGCAGGTCGCACAGCCTTTGCTGAGCATTCATGCTACAATACCAAGAAAAAAGTCTGTATAATGAATTCTCTGAACTCTCTCCCCACAGCTATATTGAAATGACATGCTGAGGATTGTGTTCTAAGGATTTTAGATGCATTTTTTTGGCTTTGTTCAAAAATACACCGAATAGAAGCGACAGGAAATGACGAGAGAGCGGGGGGCCGATGTGCTACACACAGCAGGTTCCATCCAGTTCAGAGTCAAAGGGACATGTTGTGAACACTATATCAAATGTATCTTAAGCGATATATTGTGTTAACTGTAAAGGGACAGTAGGAACGAAGAAGGGGTGTTGTGAATTAAACATTCAACATCATTAATGTAACACATTGTTTTTTGAGTGAAAAGGGCACTGTACTAGTTGGATTTGTGGGTTTTTTTTGTGCGTGTCCAGACCTATGGTATAGGCGGTGAGAACCTACGTGGTGTGATAGAGAAGCACCGCGCTGTTGCTCACAGCCTACAGATGGGCATCCAGGCCCGCTGGCGCCTCAACAGCTACGACGGACGGAGCACTACCAAGCTGACTCCCACAATTCTGCAGCTCGTAGTGGAACTCATCGCCTCAGCCAAAGGCCTCTTCTCTTTGCTCAACAGGTCTGTAAACAGAAAGCAAGCTAACCTTTTTATTTTTAAATTTTGAAGTTATTGTAAATCAGGAAGGTCCCCTGCTGTTTCTTAAGCATATTCTGGTTTTCAGAGTTTTTTCTATATAAACTGCAATCGTTTTCTTTTCAGATATCAATATTCCCAGCTCAATACATACACCACCACCAAGAACATATTCAGTTACTGCAAAGAGCTGGGAGACATTGTGCACAAGGTAGGCCCATTTTTTCTAAATAACTGCATCAAAGTCTCAGCATGAGCTTGTGAATGGCATTATTGCAGTAAAAGAAACCAAACAAACTAATATATAATATATACTAATATATATTTTTTATCAGCTGTCTGCTCTTACAATACAGAGAATTGAACACAAGTACTTCACAGCACATGTGCTCGTGAGTCCACGCAAAGTGTATACTTTTAAGAGGAACCAAACACTATTGAACAATGTTTCCAGCAGCACTCTCATGCACACTATAAACCTCCAAAGGGGAACTGCAACCTGTTGTGCGATTTATTTATTTATTTTTCAAATCAAAAAGCCCAAACGAGCAAGCCAGAAGCACAAACACACTCCCTGTTCCTCAGTTTAGCCCGAGTAATGCAATTTTTATCTTTACATTCCTGGCATATTTGGAGGCAGCTGTAACTTGAAGACGCTTAGGTTAAAACGGCTGGCAAAATGAACGGCTTGGTTTGGTCTGTGTTTACCCCGGCAGGGTGCTATTGAGAGAAATGGCGGTGGGGAGAAAGAATATTTATAATAGGATACATGTAAATGTGGGTGAAATGTGCTCGCAGGTAGCAGGAAAGGCAGGCCTGGATATGTTGTTGTGCCTGTGGGAGGGAAGGAAGGAGGGGGGGGAAGAGCTGAGTGGGAAGCAAAGGGTATGGGAGAGAAAGGGGAGGAGACTGAGAGAGGGATTGCACCACCGCTGCTAAATGACTTTTGACTCCTGAGGGAGTGTGGATTGAAAAACGCGCTGCAAAGAGCAACAAGCAGAGAGAAGTTATTAGCTGGGCACTGTGGTGACATTAGAGACAAATAGCCTGACAGAAGTTGAGAAGAGAAGAGGAGAAAAAGAAAATGGAGCTCCAGCGATAACATGAATGGAAGATAATTCGAGAGATACAAAGACAGTAAGCAGTAGAGAGAAGCTGTGGCTGAAAGAGAACTCTGAGTATTTAGAGAGGTTTATTTAAAGCTCCTGGACACCTGCCCATCACGACAGGTAGAGTTCTCATCTCTTTAACTGGATAACTCTCCACATGTTGATCCTTTTTTTCTTTTTTTCTTTGCTTGAATGCTTAAAATACCTACACTTAGATATAAAAGCAAGTGTATTTTCTGCTGGTGTAGTTAAAAATCAATCTCTGGGGTCCAGAAAACAGGACATTACCCTAATGGGCTTCAGTGAGCAGCAGGCAAGGAAGGAAGCATGGATTTAAGATTGATTTTAGTTATTGACTCTGAAGAGATTTTTTTTGATCCTATGAGCTGAATCAGCATCGTCCCCTGTTGTTTTCTTTCATTGTCCAGTTGATCACCATTTGTTATCGGCGAGCTTTTGTTTGTTCCTGTTTTTAAATTTTGAATATAATCAGGTGTTTTAAAGCTAGGTGTTATTTCATATAAAATTGCTCAGAGCTGCTGAGACTATTCTGTGAAGTAAGGTCAGAGGCATGTGAGGAAATTATTAGTGGGCTTATGTGTTAACCAGAAAACAGGATGACTATTGTTTCAGGTTCCTCTTCTTAAACATCAGCCACATCTATTGTATAAATGCTGGATATCAACGGTTTTGATAGAAAACTCTTGGCAGATCAATTGTAAGGTCAGTTTTGACCAGCGTGTGTGCACACGTTCTTGTACTGCTGCAATCGCATTAGCAGCATAGCATCACTAAAAGCATCCATACAGACTAGCATTTTCAAAGATTTTGCTTCAGGCTCAGCTGGTGTCACACACCCCACCCTGTGGCATTTACTGTCCTGTCAGGAGGCCACCCTTTAGCATGACGTCTTTTCTAAAGAAGGGCTTTTAAAGAAGCCAAACCACATCCTTCGCATCAAAAAAGGAGTCTTATTTCCTGTGTGCTTGTGTATATTTAAGTGTATGCGTGTTTCTTTTCTCTCACCCCGAGGGTGCTCGGGGTCAGTAGTCAGCTGGTGTCATTGAAGATACCGCACTAAAGTTGTCAGGTCTGATTTTCACAGTAGCACAGGCTCAGTTTGCTTTGAAGCAGCCAAGCAGCAAGCAAAGAGAGAGGGACAGAGAAGGGAAATTGGTGGCGATGAACTGAGGAAATTCATTATAAAACGGTACGTGAGTATAACTGGAATTCCATTTCTTCTGGAAAAACAACAGTCAGACTTTTAATAGTACCTTTCAGATGAGAACATCAAGGTGAAGGTGTTACTCAAGAGATTTTAATGTTTAACTCTTGAAGGACTATGCCCAGGGTGGCTGGAGCCTATTGAGCTGTCAAAGGACGAGAGGCATTGTACACCCTTTTGTTTTTATCTATTTAATTATTTTTTATTTTTTAATCTTGTGTTTTAAAGCAGACACATAATAATATAATATTAAGCACTTTGGTACACCACTGGTTTTTAAATGTGCTATATAAATAAAGTTTGTTGTTGTTGTATAAAACCAATTGTAGGACACAACTACTTCATCTTTAAAATTAGCATTGGGATCTTATTGCTCACCGGAATTAGACTCAGGATGAATTGGCAAGAGGATGAAAAAGTCATCATGCATGAGAGCTGTCAAACTATAGCTTGTGTTATTTTTAGGGTTAAAAAACAAGAGCAGAAGAGAAATCCCAAAAAGACCAGAATTTGAAAAAGGTATGGAAAAAAAACAAAACAAGGAAAAGAGCAACAGGAGTGGAAGAGATCTAACATAGTTATGTCTTCCAGTCTTTTTATAGCAAGTCTGTGAGTCGGTGGTTAACACAGGGGTAGTCCAAGTATGTAAACATGCGTGCTGAGGCAGCAGAGGTCTGTCTCAAGAGATCTTGTGTAGACTTTTGATGTAAAGTTTGGTAGATTTTAAGAATCTGTAATAGGTTGCACACAGCCTCCAATCAACAGTCCATGTTTGAGCATACTGTACATTCCTGTCATCTCATTTGTTGTTGGTTTTAGCCTCCTGTTGTGTGTGTGCCCATGCATGGCTGTGCCCATTCTTGTTTTTCTGAATGTTACACCCACATAAAAGCGTGTCATTGTTTCCTAGACAACTATGGAGCAAACAGCTTTAAGGCACAGGATGTTGTTCCAAAGTTAGCCCAGCACCTGATCGGGCCACACACACCATGATCCACAAGACAAGACAGCTCAGCACTATTCCTATTTATTTCTATGTATTTATTTATATAACACTTATAATTACAATAGTGGTGTTGATCAAAGTGCTGTACAAACATACAAATTACACAATAAAATAACACACAATAAAATAGCAATATCAATTAACATCAATGCCAAACAGCTAATAACAAATAAATAAGTAAATAACTCTCATGCAGTATTAAAAGCCAGTGAGTAGAAATGTGTTTTAAGATAGGATTTAAAAAGGCTGAGGGTAGGAGCCTGTCTAATGCGGAGAGGCAAATCATTCCACAATTTAGGCACCACGACCGCAAATGCACGATCATCTCTAAGAACCAGCCTCGACCTTGGTGTGGCCAAAAGCAAAACATCACCCGATCTAAGAGCTCTAGGGGGCACATAAGGCTGACAGATACCCTGGGCCTATCCATTCAGTGCAATATAAGTCACAAATAAGATTTTATAATTGATTCTGAAACGTACAGGGAGCCAGTGAAGTGAGGCAAGCACCGGGGAAATATGTTCATTTCTCTTTATTCGTGTCAAAAGACAAGCAGCGGCATTCTGAACCAGCTGGAGCCTTGCAAGACAAGTCTGACTAATGCCTACATATAAAGAATTACAATAGTCCAGTTGTGATAGGATGAAAGCATGAATTGCCCGTTCTAGGTTTGTAAAAGACAAAAAAGATCTCACCTTGGATAAAAGCCTCAGTTTAAAGAAAGACCGCTGTACAACTAAACTAATCTGTTTCTCAAAGGTGAACTTATTGTCAAATATAACCGCCAAATTTTTTGCATGCGATTTGATAAACGGTTCTAAACTGCGCAAATTAAAATGTGAGGTTCTAGAATTGCAACTTGGTCCAAAAACAATCACTTCGGATTTATTTTTGTTGAAATTCAGGAAATTAGAGGCCATCCGGGCCTTAACTTCGCCGAAACACTGAAATAAAGGTTCTAGGGAGGGAGAACTGTTTCTCTTTAGCTGAAGATAGATCTGGGTGTCGTCAGCATATGAGTGAAAACTAATATTATATTTCCTGAAAATAAGACCCAGAGGCAACATATAGATAGAGAATAGAATTGGCCCCAGTACAGAACCCTGCTAAACACCACAAGTACAGGAGGCTGTGGAAGTGGTAAAATCTCCAATCTTCACTGAGAAAGTCCTATCAGAGAGGACTCTGGAGTGCCTTTGATGCCGCATTGCTCCAACCGAAAGATCAAGATGCTGTGGTCAACAGTATCAAATCCAAAAGCACAGCTGAGTCTAGTAAAAGATCGTTAAGGACTTTTAAAAGTGCAGTTTCAGTGCTATGAAAAGCTTTGAGTGCCTTGAAAAGCGCTATATAAATCCAATCCATTATTATTATTATTATTATTTAAAACCAGACTGAAACCTCTCGAGAACATTGTGACCAGATAGAAAAGATTGCAGCTGAATAAATACAATCTTTTCCAAAATTTTGGACATAAAGGGGAGCTTTGAAATAGGCCTGAAGTTTGCAAGAACAGAGGAATCAAGATTAGGTTTTTTAAGCACTGGCTGCACAACAGCATCTTTAAGACAGGCTGGCACAACAATAAGCGCAGTATTGCAGCAGAACCGAGCTGAAGAAAGATTTGTGTCTCTTTTTTTAAAATTTGCTGCTCTTCCTAACTGGGATTGTCTACCATTTATTGATGTCTACACTGTGGCTAATCTGTAACTATTATAGTTGGAGTAATGTTAAAGGTCAGGCTTGAGAATCTGGCTGCAGAATAAACTTGTTGTTGCTCAAAACTTGGTGAGTGCCATTGCTGTGTTTTGTTGGCAAAGTCACAGTTTATAGGCCTGCATCAATTTCATTGTTTCAGTTTTGTGGGCATCTTGTTCTGCTTTTGTTGATGGCGATCTAAAATTGATTCAACTCGAGAGTGACAGTACAACATGCTGTTGAAAACTAAATGTTTCCCACCCCTTACGTCTTATCTCATTTCCTCTCCTCTGCTTCTTTCTTTGTCAGGTCTTTACCACAGACAAGCTCGCATATTCTTTTTATAGATTTGTAATAATTATTCGTAATTTCAATGCTCACTTATGTTAGAAAGGGGTGATTCATTGTTTCTATATGCACAAACACGCCCATGCATACAGTTTTGGTGCCCGTAATTGATTCTTAGTGTGATACCAGCAGTGAGAAATGTTAGTTTGTGGTCTTTGTTTTCCCACCACGCCCAGCTGAGTTTCACGGCACAACTGTACCTGTCGCCCACCTGAGATGTGTCATTTCCTATTCTGGCAGAGCTAGAAAAGAATGCAGAACAGACTGCATTGCTGAAGGGAAATAACCTGTGGCGTGACTTTAAATACAACAGAAAGTAGAGGCGTTGGTTTGGCTTTATTTTTACCATATTTCTATAAAGCTATGGTGAGAGTTTTTACAGGAAAGAACCTTATGCAGAACAGATAATGTGTGTGAAAGGTGGCACCAAATTAGAACCGCAGCTGCTGTTGCTATTTACAGCACTGATTTGTACAAACTAAGTTCTTCAAATATGTTAAATTAAAGTCTTAAGCCATCCATAATGCCTTTATATTTTGCTTCCAAGGAGCAGACTTTCTTGCATTTCTTGAGCAACAGTTCTCTAGGATTTTCAGAGGATTTGTCTTTGTTTTGTGTTGTTTTGTTGGACAACATGGACATAAAAGTCATTCAAGAATAAAATGACACCTAACTTTGGGGACATTCTTTCATATGATGCTTTTAAGTTCAGCAGTAGATAAAACTTTGTTTAAGTTTAGGTCTATGTGCAGAGCATCCCATTTTAAAAGATGCAAACAAAATGCTGTTTTCCCCAAATCCATCTAAAACTTCTGGACATAAAAAAGCTGTTTGGAGGAGCGTAGCTGGTAACTATTGGAGCTTAGAGAGATACAGTGAACAATCTCCAGCCACCCACATCATAACTAATGCAGTGGTGAGTCCTTGTGTTTGTAATAAGGATGTGTTTTGGTAAATATTACATATTCTGTGAGCATAACTACGAAACTGAAGGCATCAGTGTGAAGGGAGCGATCAGGCAGTATCTGAAAAACTCAGCTGTGTTTGTTTGTTTGAAGCCAATTGTTAATAATGATGCTATACAGATTATTGTGAAATGTCCCTGCAGAAAGTATCAAGCCTTCTAGCATGGCTGTAGATGCCTCTTGCGATTATCTTAATTTTCTTGTGGTATTGAGGGACATGTAAAACTTCTGCAAATGGCTTAAATTAGCGCTGCATCTATTTTTTCCTAATGCTTCGATCATGCCTTTATATGATAATCATAATGCTTTGGTTCGCATCTTACTTACACATGATGCAGCTTTTGTGCTTTAGGACAAGGCGCTCATTGATGTTCTGCTTTATGCATGTTTTCTTTGGTTTATTTTGTGATTTAAGCCTGAGCAACTAACAAACTTATTACACATTTAGCACCCTAACTCACAAGCAATGTGCCATGACAAGACTATGTTGCCGTAGTAGGGATCAAAATAAAGATCTGAATATCTGAATCTTTATAGGTTTGTTTTGGTGTATATAACAGTTTGCAGCCACTCTCATGCAGTAATCCCCACGGGGAATAGCAGCATACAAAGAACACAAGCACAAGCGGACCAGTTGAACTGGCCAGTAATCACGTCGTACCTCTCCCTGCAGCCTTGTGTTGCAGCCTTTAATTAGCCCAGAAATCCAGCCGTGTTCACTGTTGATCCCTTGCTACATTTCACAGGGATTAGTTTCCCCTTGCAATCCTTTATGTAACCCATTACATCGCTGGCCATTGCAAATTAGCTTAGGGCAGTAATAGTGTGTGGCATTAGACGAGTCAGTGAATATTATATGGTGTGCAAACATATGCCCTATTCACCTTTAACCCCTCATTTGTCCTCCATTGTTCAAAGCTTCTGCTTGTTTCTTTAGCTCCCGGGACTACTCAGCTACCTCGCAGGAAAGCTCATAGGAAGGCGTTATTAACACCCTCATCCCAGAAACCAGAGATTAGCCAACATACATCTGTCGCATGAATTCTAGTAACTGTGATACTAACTGTGTGTATGTCTGTGCGTGCATGTGTGCGTGTTTAGATGATCCGTTTGTAACATTAACATTATAATGTTTGCAATGTTTCATGTACAGTAAACGACAGCATTTGTCTTAAAAGATGGGTTCATCTTGCGTGACAGTTATGAGCAACAAATCAGTGTGTTACCCACTCTGGATAGAAATGTATTAGCAGAGTGTGTACTGTTTAGTACAGTATATGAACTCCTGGGTAATAACGCCAAGAAATCTGAAAAATGAAACAGCGCAAACAAGGCCAAGGCCACTTTGATATTCGTCAGAGATTTTCAATTTCCTCCTCACAAAACGTATCTGCTGACGCGAATCAAATAAAAGGCTGGAGTTGAGGAATATCTCTTTTTATAAGTCTGCCATTTGCAAATTTTATAATATAATAATAATAAAAATCCTGTGCACCCACGAGTACTGGACCTTTTAAATTGTTAAAGTTTCAGTTATATTGAAAGAACTCATTTCGTTTAGCATAGGAAAGGGGAGCTGAATATCAGCATGGGCATAGGGGCAACTGTGGCTCATGTGGTTCAGTGGGTTGTCCACCAATCGCAGCCCCAAGTATGGCTGAATAGGTGAATGAGAATCATCATAAAGACTGCTGTGGTAAAAATGTGCCATTTAAGTGCACAGTGTGGGGCCTTTTGGGCCTGTTTGCCATCATGGTATCAAGGCCAAGGATAAAATTACAGGAAAAAAATTCAATAAAGCTTAAAACTGGATGACACAACAGAATAGGTGGACTCTAGAAGAATATTGTGCAGATCTGATCCAAAGATAACTGACTCGTCTGTATGTGAAGAGCAAACATTCATTCATTGTAGAAAGCCAGAAAAAACACACTAAAGATCTCCAGGGATGCTTCTGTGTCCTCTAAAAACCCGAGGCCTTTCACTTCCTGACTCATGCTGTGAAGAGGAAATGGGACATGGGTTTTTAGTCAAACTGTCCCATTTCCACAAATCAATAACATTAGCATGTCGTACATAGGCTACAGGGTGTCATTTGGTCAGCCTTCTGCTCATATCATTTCTTTTAATTCATCCAACAGAACAGCACTGGCTACGAAAAAGAAAAGGACATCATCTCTGTCGTAAGTTTCTCACTTATTTCAATGTTCGTCCGTTTCATTGTGCCTTGGAGTAATTTAACCTGTTTTGCTGTCCTTTGTTTTACTATGAAGTAAATGAGATATTCTGAATGGCACGTGTTTCTTTCCTCAGTGCCGTCAGTTGGTGGCGGTTTGTGACGAGATCCTGAACTGCTGCCCCGAAGCGCTCCTCAATCACACCGCTCAGCTAGAGAGTGTCGAACTGATACCCGTGGCACCCGGTGATCAGCTGGTAAAGACATCTTTCGCTTTATAACTGTAGAATTTTTGCCTTCATTGAATTTAGAACTCCTGAGAGGACGTATTGTTTCTAATGGCAGACAAAGGAAAACATCTGTGTACATGTTTAAAAAGGAGTAAGGTAACTTTAGAATTAGTGCATTAAATCCAGTTATTTATACTCATTTTTGAATTTAAACCTCACTCACTAAAGTTTTTCCTCTGGTCCACTTTCCTAATCATCCATGTCTCCTACTTTTCAAATCTCATCTCTCTGTTTCTTCACTTCCCTTTTTTGTCCTACTTTTTTCTCGCTGTTTTATTTTCAGTATTCATTTCCTGTCTTCATCATTGCCCGGTGGTTTCCATCATCATCACCACTTCTTCCATCTAACTCAAGGTTCTCCTTGTACCTGTTCCTATTAGATTCACGAGAACCCTTATCTCAGTTGTGTACTTTTTGTGCCGCTTCTTCTCTTTTTTCCTCCAAGTCAGAACATCAAGTAGTAAAATTACAGCTCTCATCTTTGTTTGTGATTTACGTAATCTTGTGTCCCTTTAGTTTCATTTTAATCCCTACAGAGAAATGCGTTTAACCAATTTCCTTCCCTTTTGTGATTTGTGCTTAACAGCGAGCGTCAAAAACTGATTGTCCTCGACGGAGGGAAATTGATTGGAGCACGTCAGCAATAGTGCTTTCTGCCTGTCGACAGATTAAAGAGTAACGAGAACTAAAAAGAGAAACCAAGGGAAGTGAGGGACAGGAAGGATGATGATTTATGCACTTTCAGTGTAGCCAGTATGACGTATACCCGCTCAAGTCATGACGTGCACACGAGTCCAAAGCACACAAAAAAATAAATTCTCAAATTCACATTTCTGTCAGTAACAAAGGAGATAAGGTGAGAGCGAGTCATGAGTTATGAAGTGAAGATAAAAGAAGATGTGCAAAAGCATTTCAGGTGGGGATTGTTTGCAGTACATGACTAAGAGAAAGTGACTCAATCTGGCTCCTAGTGTTCATTATAAGTAGATTTATATTTTTTGGACTTTAGAAAGAAACTAAATATGCCTTTTTCTAAGCATATTATTAAAATGGACTATTTATTTCTAAGCACTGAAAACATTTATTGAACAATGAAGCTGTTTGCAGCTTTCATTGATTATAAAGGCAGATAATTACTGCTGCGTTTTGCAATTCTCTCTTTCATTATGCTTTATTCATTGCTCTCATCCACACTTGGAGCGTATTTACTCCAAACTACAGTGCGTTTAATTATTAAATGTATCTATAAATGTAATAATTTGATTTATTGGTGGTTGTGACTCAGGAGGTCGTCTACTAATCAGAAGGTTGGTGGTTTGATTCCTTGCTCTTCCAGTCTGCAAGATACCGAACCAAGAATTTTCCCATATGCATCCATGTGAGTGTGTGAGTGTTAGGTTCAAAGTGCACATGCTTTAAAAAAAAAAAGCACTTTTATGAATGTGTACGTGAATGGGTGAATGAGGTTTGCAGTAATAAAGCTCAAACTGAGTAGAAGAGGACTATGTGAGCACCAATGTGCCTTTTAATTATTAAATCACTTTTGAGCTTTTTAGTCAAAAATGGATCAACTCCATTCATGTTTCCACAGTTTCTGTCGTGATAAGTATTTATTATGTGATCAGGGCTTTTCTCTCCCTACGCCCATCATATTAAAATGATCAGTCAGAGCAAGATGACAGGTGGAGGCTGACACCAATATCTTTATGTACATAATCTGATAATGACGGCAAGAAGACGCAGTAAATTTATCTGTCCATTACGGTGAATCATTCTGATTCAGCGATGTGCAAAATTAACATTCTGTGTGGCAAAGTTCATAAATTTATCACTCGGAAAAGTACGTAACATTTTTCCTTTTTTTTTGCTTTCTTTCAGGGCATCGAGATAACATCCACCAACTCCAGTAACCACTACGTGACTGGAACTGCCGCTGAGGTCAGACTCTCGCCTTTATTTTTCTTTCCTCCTTGTTGACTCAGCCATCAAACCACACACTGTTAACCATCGCTGCCTCACAAGTGCTCGTAAGCAAGCCACTTATCGTGAACTTCAAACCAACCTGTCAACAGTTTGTCTCTTTACAAGAGCCCCGTGCAGATTCTTTACAGTGCCTCTATATTTCTTAACCAGCTCTGTTAACATGTACTCATGTATATGTGTACTCACTGATTGGCTAGAAGTGCAGGAAAATATAGCAGATGGGATTTATTGCTTTAAAAGGATTGTTATGATAGCGTCATGTTATGCTGAGCTCTGCCAGATATTTTTGCAGGAGCTGACACTTTCATACTCATTTACACTTCTTCTATCAGAAGGTTTTGTTCTGCTTAGGACAGAATAGCACAAGTCTGTCTGAGTTTCTTATCTAGAAGGAACTGGAAGTATATTTCCAATTGTGAAAAGCAAAAATAAAACACGAGCATCATTTGGTTTCTTGTTTTTGATTCTTCTAAAAAAGAAACTTTTATCTGATTTCATAAAACTACACCATCCTCTTTTTCCTTTTTAAAGTCACATGCAGAATCTGCTAAATCGGGCTATCCTCTCATCTGCACAGTTAAAGTATAAAATTAAGATTTTCATCGATTTCTTGTGGAAACATTAGTTCTCTACCAGGCAGAAATCCCCTTGGAAGTACTTTGCGTGAGGTATTATTTTTAGCTGCTGGCTTATCTTTCCTTGCTTCGCTGTCGCCGAAACTGACACCAATATCAGTCCTCGTGCTGCAAATACTGTTTATTTTTAAATCTCTACAAGGCTGCTTGTTCCAACCATAAGTAAGACTGGATGTAAACAAGTTTATAACACATTGTGACTCACAGGATTTTCCTATGTGTGTCAGATATTCAGTTAAACACCGGCTGTAGCTGAGCGGGAAACTGGAGGCAACAACAGGGAGATCTGGTACATGTGGTGCATTACATTACAAAAGTGGACTTCATTAGCTTTACTTTGTAACCATTTGGCTTTTGATGTGGATAAAAGCTTCTCTGAGAAAAATGAAATCATCTAATGGATGCGCCGCAGATGAACGAATTTCTGAGAAAGCCAAAGATCCCTTGTATCGGGAGCTTATAAAATGTATGAGGGAGTGTTTATGAGTGAAAATAAGAAGGGCTTGTGAAAGGATGAGGAGGAGAGGGGCAGAAAGATGAAGATGTTTTTCCATGATGTCAACCTCAAAGGCTCCCCTGCTACTTGTAACATTGCTGTGGCTGACGGCTAATAAGAGATATGGCCACTGTCCACAAATACAGATAAACTCCATGAATGTGGGAAGGATCCATGCACTGCCTTGCACAGACAGGGCCTTGGCTTATAATCACAATATCGACCTTCACAATATCAGCAGACTGTCTGATGTCGAATTCAGTGTCAAATTTGCTATATTATGAATGCAGTCACATACAGTATTTATAGTTTTATTCAGTCATAGTCAGCAATGCTTGATTTTTGCACAGATATGATGCTGTATGCATTTAATTTATTGGAGTGTCCATATATTGAGATTTCTGTCTAGTTGCTTGACCCTTAAACATTATTTTATGGAAATTTGTTGAAATATTCCTCACAAACTGATAACATCATATTGAATTAAATGTAGCAGGGTAGGAAACCATAAACACAACTTCTGTCTGGTTACTTGAACACATATTACAGGATAAACATAGATGATGTACTTTATAGATAGCTTCCAAAGGAGCCAGACTAATTAAGTGGTTTTGATCAATGGTTCTCCTGGTTTTCTGAAGGTCTTTCAACGTTACAGTAAACCACAATACACAAGAGTTGGACTGAACATCAGTATCAACGGTTTTATGGAGTGATAAATGCAAGTTAGAAATTTATGGAGAAGGAGATAAGGTGAACAGGTCAACTGTGATTGTGTATCAGAGCTATAATGGTTTTGTAGTTTCTAATTAGTTTTTATTATTCCACTTTGACTTAGTTTCCAGAGTTGCATTGCTTGTTTCAGTTCAGTTTTTATTGCTTGAAAATGTTTAGTTTTTGTTGAGTTTTTACTAATTTCGATATTCGTTTTAGCCTTTTATTGCATGGAGGCACAGTTTAGTCTGAGTTAGTACAGATATTCTAATAAAAACTAAAACTTTTGAAAGAAGTTGACTCTCAATAGTCTCAATAAACAGGTCCGTCAAAGTTTCATCAGCGATTTTTTTACATAATAAACAAGTACTAAAAGTAAAGATAGCACCTCTTTATTATTATTTTATTTTAATTATTTTATTATTAATTTTTATTTTTTTAAGTTCACAAAATAATTGGTGAAAAGTTAACTAAAACATGCAAACATCTAAAGATGAGCTTTGAATGTCCTTTAAGAAGACTGCTTAAAGAAATTACAAGAGTTCAGGTTGTGTTGAAGAATTGTAAAACTTAAGACTTTTGCATTATAATATTATGTATATATATGTATATATATGTATATATACATATATATAAATTAGATGGGTTCGGCATTTATCAGTTTATTTCTTCATTTTTATATGTGTTTTTTAAAGTTATTATGTTATATGTGGTGTACATGTATATATAAGTATACATATATAAGTGGGAGGGGGATAGGGGAATATGTAATAAAAGTACAAGTATTAATAGAAATGCACAATGTGTCGCTGCACCTGTATAATATATATACTATAATAATATAGTATAGAATATAATATAATACTATACTGTATCTAATCTAACATCCAAACAAAGAACAGAACTCTCCCTATTCCCGACTCACAAAGGCTGAATAAAATCACACAACAAGAAAACATAATAAAACAAACTACTTTAAGTGCCAATTACAAATTTATGCCGCTGTCTGTGAAAAACAAATCGTGTAATTGCTGAAATCTATATCTGGTTTGTTTAAACCCAAATATAGATGTGTTGATTGTGTTGATTTTCTCTGTTTCTGCAGCCCTCTACTGATGCCTACGTGAAGGTCTTGGCTGGAGATGAAGTGATCCAAGTCAATGATCAAATAGTGGTGAGTGATACCGTACATACAGCACTTAAGGGCCTAATGCTCTGCACTATAAATATGTGTGTGTGTGTGTGTGTGTGTGTGTGTGTGTGTGTGGTCCTGTTAGTCTGAGACAGTTCTCCTCCTGCAAAGTCTGAGTGTCTTATACAATAACCTTCACGGTGAAATAACCATCGGTGTTGCTGCCTCAGGTGGGCTGGAGCAGAGTTAACCTTGTGAAGAAGCTGCGTGAGAATCCCAGTGGGGTGACTCTCGTCTTGAAGAAGATCCCTGGATCAGTGCAACGCAACAACTCAGCCCCGCTCATCTCTACACAGGTCCGGGCTCATTAAAATCCTCCTCCACTCACTTCTTCACTCCACAAACTGTACAAACTTTCTTCAAAATAGTCAGTGAATTAAAAAAAAGCCCCAATGTATTTACCTTTTTATATATTATACAATACTTGTACTTTCCACATAATTTGGAAAACAGACTTCACAGGAAAATTATGCTAAGGCCTGTGAATAACACTTCAGAATCTATAACAATGGCGTCTCAAGCTACTTTCACACTCACACAGTGGCCCTGAACGTCTCTAGACATCTGCGGGAGCTGTATGTGAGAACACAAATGTCCAGCTCAGTTGGATCTAATATTTTTAATGGTCTTTACCCTGCAAGCTCTCTGGTACAAAGTCTGTGTGAGGTCTGATTGAGCCTCTGCGAGAAAAGAGAAGGTAATTGTCCTGTGAATGCACAGCCAGTGAGTGTCACCGTGTCCTGCCAGCTGTACGCTCTACCCAGGCTCTAACTTCACCTAAATGACACAAGAGTATTTCCAGCAGGGAGAATGTGTCTGACCCTGCCATTTGTTTGCTCAACCCCACAAAATGTCATGATTTAATTCTCCTCACGTAGTCTCAAAATTAAAGCTGTGAAATTGATGGCAGATACACTATAGATATATCATGGGGGAAATCTCTATTTTTGTAGCAAATCTTCTCAGAAGCTTAGAAAGGTTATCTATAATGACTGGATGCCAGCATTTAATACGACACATTTTATGCCCTCACGGTGACTAGAACATTTTTAATGAATTACATTTTTCTCCTCTCTGTCATGCTCATATTTTTAATCATTTGTGAAGCTAAATAGACGAAACCTCAAAGGCAGCAATATTCTGCTTTCAAGCATCTGCTGTCTGTGTTCATTTTAGGATAATTACATCCAGGGGTGAGAGTTGAGCGTCAAATCTTCTCTTAGAAACCTGATTGTTTTATATCAGGGGGATTCTTTTATGAGAATCCCCTCTTTGATTTCCGTTTAACCTCATTTGGGATCTATTTCCATAAACACTTGCGCACTCTCAGTAGTCACCATGCCAACTGTTGTTTGTCTTTGAACAACACCCTGAATTACACACTGCATCTGATACAAACGCGCACGCACGCACGCACGCACGCACTGTGAGCATTTCACACACCCCTCGTGACCATCACCGTGCTAATCTCAGATCTAGCTGGCGGCATAGGGTGAGAAAAACATTTAAAAGATGTGAATCAGCTCAGTGTATAAACTCCATATTGTCCTCAGAAGATGCCCTGCTTTTCTTCCAAGAACTTCGCCGGCTGTGTGTGTAGAATTGTGTGCACGCGGTGTCTGTGTGTGTGTGTGTGTGTTTGTTTGCGTTGCCGTCTTGTCTGCTAAGCCACAGAGCACACAGATGGCAGAGCCTAGGAGAAGGTTGCAATTAGAGTCTACCGTGACATCCAGCTTCTTAACCCTCCACCGACCCCTAAATGCAGACAGTTCAACCTGCACACTCACACGCTGTTGTGTTTTCAGAAAGAAGAGGACAAGGAGGAGAAGTCAGAGGAGGAAGAAGAAAAGGACGATCAAGACGGTCCACGGCATTCATTACTCAAGAGAGTGGCAGCATCTGTCAGGTCCTTGTCTTTCAGTTGAGGGCATTCATTTGCTTGTCCTTCAATAAGATGGAACTTAACAACTGCTACTTGTGTTTAATATTCTAAACCATACAGCAGCACCTGGGTTTGTCTCTAAAATAAACATCAAGAAGAAATCCAAGCTCCATTTAAAGTTAGAATAATACCGGTAGATGTAGATTTCCGAGGGGATGCATGGAATCCCATCTGAAATATAAACCTTTCTACCCCCCAATTTAGAACACGTGCATTTGCCCCCTCAGTAAACATTAAAAAGGAATCGCTTAGAAGAAGAATTGCTGTAACATTAGTCAGCAGCATAACAATGGCTCCCAGACGAGTGGCTCTTTTTCCTTCAGCATTGTTTTTGTTGCGTTTTGTTTTTTAGTCGCATTATTTTCTCACCAAAAACATTGCGATTTTGTTTTTTCCTGCTTTCATTGTGTTTTATTCAGCTTAACAACGTTTGACCTTTCTGAGTCACCACATTGTAAAACCTTAACCCAATAACACAATAAAGTCACCACTGCTCAACAAAGTTTAAAACACTTTATTAAAGTCAAATGTAATGTCCCGCAACTGGGCCCCAAAAGGATAAAGAATCCAAACTTTTGACACGATGTACATGAAAACATGGTTTAAACATTAACATCTCGATTTTTGTCTATGGAAAGAAAAGGTTTTGTGCATACACCCGAGGCACAATCCACAAATAGTTTGGCCATATTTAGCAACCCAACAAGTGAGAATGCTTTAAGAAAGGTATCATTACATCGCCTAAATGCCTGAGAATAAGAATGAAAGATTTAAAAAAGAAATAAACAAGAATGCAAACAATGCAAAATTGAATAAAATATGCAAAATTGTAGACAGACATCTAAAACTGATTTAAAAAAAAAAAAATTTTTTTGCCAATTGTCTAATATTTTCTGAATTTAAATATTCTTTTTTGCTTTTTTAAAAAAATTGTCAATCACTTTGTTTGCATACATGCATGAGAAGTTGAATACTGATCTGGTTACGCAGCATTTACTCAGTAGAGCTGAACATCCCTGAAACCCTTTTGACCTTGTTCATCTGCCAGCACCCGGCAGGTTTCCCATGAGGTCACACTGCAAATGCCACAAATTCCACTGTGCGCTCGCAACACACGACTGACTGGAAATGAGTTAAAAAGAAGAGATGAGGAGAAAGATTTAAAAAATGCAGGGAAAAATTAGTAGACGGGAGGAAAAGAGTGATGAAGAGGCAAACAGGGACAGCGAGAGCTGATGAAGAGCAGGCGGACTCTAGCAAATGGATGGAGTGGGCGGTGATGGTGCCTTGTGGTTGTAAATAATTCTGACACATTCTAATATACAACAGCTACATTTTAAGAAAAAAGGGAGAAACTGGCAAATAAAGTCATATTTTATCTCTTTAAATTACTCTTTTTAAGGACTTGTAGTTTTGTAATGTGCTGTTAGTGTTTTCCAGCTAGAGGTTTCACTTTATATCAGCCACATGTGGTAACTGTGAATATAAAGTAAGATAAAAATCTGTATTTTTGCAACATGTTTATGTAATTTCCTCGCTGCTCATTCTTTGCTCAATGTTTCTTTTCATTTGGACTTTTAATTTTATAATACCAGATGCTGCATCAGTGGAACCCAAGTGTTTTGACTGATATTTCTATATATTTTGTTACAGACGAGCTGTTCAGGGGCCAGAGGTGCAACAGCAGCCCATGGGACAGGAAGAATCTGAAATATCCTCAGTCAAGGAGCTTGAGGAAAATCTGAGCCTCACTTCATATCAAAGCCGACAGGGGGCGCTTTTGGCACCAGGTAAGACAAATTTGCAAGATTTTACCTTTTCTTATAACTGATTATATTTTAGTTACTTTGTGTTTTTCTTTTCAGAAGGATTTTAAACTGTTGATTACAACACACAAAGTGTATTATCGCGGCATGCCACACTGTAATAGTTTCACTATCATTTGACCTTCTGCACAGAAACCACAATGTAACTGAGGTGCAAAGATGTGGGTTTATTTAGAAACTTCATTCTGTTTCCCAGCAGGGTCAGAGAGCTTGACAGGTTCAAGGCTCTCACTAAATCGCCTGAGAGACCGCTCGCCCTCGCCTGTAAGAACCAAACAGGACAGAGCTAGCATCAGTTCCTGCCCTGATATGGTGGGACACACGGTGAGGGGAAATTGAGAACATTCACTAACAATTGTTTTTGTTACAATCCAGGCAATTAATGGTGATTTAATTAAAGTAAGCTTTTAAACACTGAGTGATCGCTGTCTGATTATCTTTTCAGGGGAACAAGGATGGTAAGAAGACCTCCACTAAAGGTACGATTTTCTTTATCACAGGACAATAAAATAAACAAAACACTGAAGTGTTTTTGTAATGACAAAATCAGCCCCGAACTGATAACGCCTCTGTAAGCTGTGGCTTATAGAAGAGTGTCTGTAAGACCAGGAGCAAAGCAAATCTCCCTCACCAGGCGTGGCAGATGGACTGGTTGTGCCAGGTTTCTGCCTGTTAAAAAGGAGTTTTTCCTTTCCACTGCTCACAAAGGGCCATCTAATTACTGTGTTTTTCTCTCTATTATTATTATAGTTTCTTAAGCTCACAATATAAAGTGGCTCGAGGCAACTGTTGTTGCCATTTTGTGCCACATGAAATGGTCACAGAATGATAAGCATGTCCAAAACACAGCTAAGACTAAAGAAAAACAATGAAAATAAAGCATTGCAAAGGAAAGAAGAGATAAATAGCCAAGAAATACATGCCTAAACAGAAACAAGAGGTAAAATATAATGATTCTTTAACAAAAAAATCCTGACTGAGGATGATTTATTCCACTGAAAACCTGTAGAGTGCCTGAAACTTGTCCTGCAAAGGTTACTGGAAAACCTAATGGGAACAGTATGTACGGGTTAAGCAGTTAGTGAACTGTGTAACACAGTGTAACACAGTTTCAAATGTGAGAAGCGATGTGAGTTTGTTGGAAGCTTTATGGATGATACTAAGACAACTCAGCTGTGTGATACAGAGATTAGGAGGGTTCAGTTGCTGTGGCAATAATGTAGCAGTAAAGAATAACATGAATTCAGTGCTTGGAATTGCAAAGAAAGACCAAGTCGAATTCCCCCCAAATAAAAACTGCTTCGACTTAAATATTAAATCGTAAATTTTCTGTGCTTTTATATTTCCTGGAATGGTTTTAAAAGGATCTAATACTGGAGACATCGCAAAAGTCCAAAAAACCCCAAGAAATACCCAAAAATTTAGTTCACTTATCATGATCATTATCTCCCTTCTCTTCCTTATTTGTCTTTCAGGAAAGACGACGGCTATGAGCCGGCGTCGTGTGTCCTGCCGTGACTTGAGTCACCCCGACTGCGATGGTTGGCTCTGGAAGAAAAGAAAGGAGAGCAGTGTCTTCATTGCACAGAAGTGGCAACGGTTCTGGTTCGTGCTCAACGGGCCTCACATTTACTGGTACAAGAGTCAACAGGTGAGCAAAAAATCAAGAAAAAGGTCATCATCGCTGTTAGTTCATATAATACCTAAAGCACATGATCTATCTGAGTTAGTGCCACATGCATTATTAACTATCAAAATATTTTGCATTTATCTAATTGTCAGTATGTCTAATTTTCTTCAATTGTATTTCAGGAGGAGAAGGCAGAGGGGTTTCTCAATATATCCAGCTATGGCATAGAAAGCGCCGGAGAGCACAAGAGAAAATAGTAAGAGTGAACCCAGTGATGAGTCACATAATGGTGCCATAATGGAAAGCCATGGTTTAAAACAGCAATTATATTATGTATGCACATGTTCTGCATATTTAGGTCTTCATTTTTGTGACACCCCCGCTCCTTCTTTCTGTTTTCTCCCTACCAGCGTATTCCAAATGTGCCACCCGAAATTTCAGAACTTTATTTTCGCTGCGGACAATGTCAATGACATGAGCAAGTAAGTTCATACTGTATAATGATATAACAATGTCACAATCGGCTGGTTGTGTCGGGCACTAGCTCGAACACAATGCAGTTATTCATTCCTTTTGCTAACAGTCTATGTTAGAGGTGGTAAAGTTGTAACAGGTGGTGGTGTTCACTGCCCCCTGCTGGTTGCTTTTTTCAGGTTTCTCTAGTGAGACTGTTATGCATTGTTTAAAGATGTTATCCTCAACATACTCTCACTAGACACTTTATTAGATAGATGCTGCAAGTATCAAGCTGGACTCCCTTTTACCTTTTACATCCCAAAGGTGCTTTATTGAATTGAGATCAGGTGACTGTTGGAGGCCAGTTGTGAGTGCTGTGAACCTGGACACAGACCAGTACAGTACTTAATAATAAAGTCCATCCATCCATCCATCTTCATCCGCTTTATCCGGGGCCGGGTCGCGGGGGCAGCAGCCTAAGCGAAGAGGCCCAGACCTCCCTCTCCCCAGCCACCTCCTCCAGCTTATCCGGGGGAACACCAAGGCGTTCCCAGGCCAGCCAAGAGATATAATCTCTCCAGCGTGTCCTGGGTCTGCCCCGGGGCCTCCTCCCGGTGGGACATGCCCGAACCACCTCAGCTGGCTCCTTTCGATGTGGAGCAGCAGCTGCTCTACTCTGAGCCCCTCCCGGATGGCCGAACTTCTCACCCTATCTCTAAGGGAGAGGCCAGCCACCCTTCGGAGGAATCTCATTTCTGCCGCTTGTATCCGCGATTTCGTTCTTTCGGTCACTACCCACAGCTCGTGGCCATAGGTGAGGGTAGGGACGTAGATCGACCGGTAAATTGAGAGCTTCGCTTTTACACTCAGCTCCCTCTTCACCACGACGGACCGGTGCAGTTAATAATAAAGTGTTTAGGTAAATGTGTATGAATATTGGTGACATAGCTTATCCCCTTTTTTTTCATCAGATGGATCAACTGTCTGATTACAGCCATACAGAAGCACAAGAAGTTCAACAAAGGCCCAGATAATGAGGAAGGTGTGGAAACATTTCTCTTATGCTTTTAAATTTTTACTCTAAATCACTTAATTGTATGTGCACAATACAATTCATGTTTTCCCATATATTTCCTACGGCATTAGCAATAATGCATCGTGATGTGTCCTGCTTGAGCAAATAAATGGTAGATATAATGATATTTTCGCCATAAAAAATAAGAGCAAATTGTAGTCTCATAATTATCTAGTAACACAGAGCATTATTGTTAATTACTGTAGCTTTGCCCATTTACAAATGGCAGTCCTGATGCTTCACATTTTAGGTAATGGCATTACATTGACAGCTGTATTCATTTATAAACAGAGTGTTACAGTGAAACTGAATCAGAGAGCGAATCATCTCCTTCAACCCGCAGGAAAAACAAGGTTAGCTCGGTAAGAGAGTTATATATTGCACAAATAATCATTAAAGCATGCACATACACATCCAGATTACATTCATTTCATATTTGTCTTGATTATCTTTCTCAGAAGGTACAGTCCAGCACCCTACCTCTCCCCAAGGGTAAGAACAGGGCGCCATTACCTAGACCTACAACAGAGGGCAGCAAAGGAACAGGTATTTGTTATGTCACACTGCCTCTCTCTTGTTCTCTCAGTAATAAAAAATGTCTTTAATCACAGCGTAATGAGTGTTAATATTTTAAGACTCATTAAGTTTTAATATTCTCTGAGAGAGTAAATAAGATTAATTGTGTTGTTTACTTACCTTTAATCCTGTTTTGGATAGATGGTTCACAACAACTGTGTGACTGTGTTTTTATCCTGTGTGTTTCCTCCCTTCTGTTAGAACCTGGTCAGGTAGATGAGATGGGCATGATGCTAAACAATCTAAAGGAAGGGGGAGTTTCTCTGATCGGCCACGAGCAGCCGTTCACGCACGACCACTTCAGGAAGTCATTCATTCGGCGCAACAAAAATCCCGTCATCAATGAAAAGGCACTCACGCTCCGAGCTCTGCAAAGCACTCTAAAGGTGAGGAAAGGTCTTATCCAGTCTTACCTTTCCTTGTGTCTGCATGGAAACCCATGCGATTCAGCATTAACTCCAGCAACTGATACACAAAGCTGCGATGGTCCTGGGTCAGTGACCCAGTGTTTTCTGTTTTGTATTATTGATCTTTGATTTCTTGATGTGTCTTTGTTAATGCTTAGAGTTTTGGTTCTTGTGTTTAGTGTTTTGTTATATCTATCCATGTCCTCCCCTAGTGCTCTGTTCGTGTTCCTGAGTTTGTGTTTGTAAAACAGTTTGTAAATTTCCTGTTTTACTTTGAAGGTCTGTGTCTCTCATGTCTAGGTTCAGCTGTGTCCTCCCCTTGTGTGTTTATATAGTGTGGTTTCACCTGTGTTCATTGTCGCTCTGTCTGTGTTATTTGGGGAATCTCGGTGTTTTTCCCTGCGTGTCATTCCGTGAGTTATGGTTTCGGGTTTTGTTTGTTTCTAGTTTTCCCAGTTTAGGTTTATCTTTAGTTCTGTTCTCGCTTTTGTTGTTTTCACCTTCCAAAATAAAGCTCCTTCGCATCACAGCCAGTGCCCACATTCTGGGTCCTTTCTCAAAACACCACACGACTGCTGCTGCAGCCGTGACAGTAGCAGGTACATTTATCACTGAGTGCATGACAAATGGCTCAGCTGGTGAATTAACCAAGCATCTTAATTATCGAAAGTTGCTCTGGCAGGAGCTATATAACAAAATTAAAAATTCAGCTTTTATTAGTAACTCGCTTTGGCCGTAGGGAACATGGAAGACATGGGTAAAACCACTCCTATTTAAAACTGCAACGCACTGTTTCCCACAGCTTGAAATTCACTCGGCGGTGACGGATGGTGTATATATGACAGATATTCCTTAAACGCCTCACATATTGTGAAATGAGAAAGTCTCATCCAAACACCTTCAAATTCAATACTGTTCTGCTCAGTATCACAGGTGATTTATACTTCTAGTAAGTCTGTGCCGTAGGTGGATTGTAACTGCAAACCTCTCTGAAACCCTACGCCATAACCTGACGTGCACTTTCCTGGAAATGTAACTACACATCTCATGTTCATCTCCTGCTGTTGTTTCAGTTTTTAAATTAAAGAGTGGGAATCCAGGAGGGGAAAAAAGTCCCATCATTCTATTTATTTCTATTGTGGCTGGCACTTCATGTAAAACTGTCCACATAACCACAAGGTAACTGAGACATAGCAGTGTTGGCCACTTATGCGTTGGCTATGCAAATATTCACTGCAGAAATCTAAATATAGGAAAAGAACATTGCATATATGCACATACAGAGACTCCTCAGTTAAGTAAAGTGTTTGTGCAAGTTTTATGAAATGAGGCATGAATGAAACTATATCAAGAAACTGTCTTGCTCAGAAAGGTTTTTGTGTTCAAATGGTCAGAGGGTGATATTAAAATTCATCTGCATGGTCGCTGACTGGAAATGCTTTTTCTCCACAGGCCAAAGAAGCGGAGTTGCAGCAGATCAACAAGATCCTGGGCGACTCCGATCTGACACCTTCAAAGTACCGTCAGTGGAAGGAGAACAACGAGGAGCTGTTCAAGGAAATCGAGAAACTGGTCTCGCTCAAGGCCTCCAAAGCAGGGGACCATGCACCTGAGCAGGACACGCCCACTGAGGAGGTTGCCCTAGAAACTGTTGCCAAGGAAACAGCCGCCGCAGAGGCAGAAGGCGCATATAGACTAAGCCTTAGCGATGGGGAGCAGTTAGTCGATGCAGAGCCATCTGACGTTCTTCTGGAGATGTCACAAGCGTCTCCGAGCACAGACAGCAGCCCAGTATTAGAATTCTCTTTCGGCTCGCTCCAGGATTCAATAAACAAAGAGCTGAGGGAAATGGCACAAAGTGGAGACACTTCAGAGAGCTACTTCTTCATTTAAAGCCACACCAGTTCAAAGTTGCTCTGTTTAATAACAGTTAATAATGTTAGACAAATGAAAGCTTTTCTTCATGCAACAATGTGAGACAGCGCAGACGGTTTTTATCATTGGGAGCAGTTAAAAGTTGTATTAAAAATGGCCACAAAATCAAACATTTTTAAATCAAACATGTCAGTGAAATACATCAATGCATACTTGTTTGTCTTTTTGTTTAGGAAACAAATTTCGATAAATGACAAGTTTACAACAGCAAAGAGAACATGAAATTACCAAGTGTCACAGTCTCAGTTTGGTATATATTTATATAATTTTAAAATTATCATTCTTCTTCTTCTGTGGTTAAAAATACCATCAAGTATGACTTTGCTTGGAACTTGTGATATAAGTTGTACCTTTTGCAATGTGATATGTATGTACAGTTTTACTATAAATACTCTATGTATTTGTTTATTGACATTACCTTAATAAAGGTCCATGTGAATAATTTTGTACACAACTTTTACTCCAGAAACACTGCTATTGCTCGTCTGGGTAAGTCCTTTTCAAACTCCCTTCATGACCTTAATGAGAACCTTTCACCAAAAATTATATATTTAATGAACTTAAACCTCCTAAGACCTGAACTCTTTCATGGCATGCATTTTTAATTTCTCTTTGCTATTTGGGCTGATTGAGACCTGTTGAATGTAAAAACAAAGAAATATCTTTTTATCTGATTTTGCTCTTCAAGGGCCTGATATGCACCTATGAGGTCACTCGTTTTCAATTTCAGTAGAACAGTGGCAGTATAATGTCCTCGTAAGTGGATATCCAGCCCTTGTAGAGCAAAATTTAGTATTGTGGTCTAAATGTGTGTGTCTGTCTTCAGTGCATGAATTACACCCTCCTCTGTGTCTGAGACCTCTTTTAAGCCGTCCACTGACGTTCACTACTAAGTAGATAAAATGTTTATTTATGAGCTACTTGTTCTGTGCGAGCGGGTCTCAAAGACCTGCGTTCTCAACCATGATGTGAATTTCTCTCCTCTCCTGAGGTTGTTTGTTGCCAGCTGAAGCGATTGAATAGGTTATTCTCACATCGGATTGCGATCACTCCACGTGGCTCCAGGCAACATTCACATCTAACATCTATTCACATAATGTTGCTTGGTTTAAATGCAGTGAACTTGTCTGCCGTACAACATGTGAGATGATCACTCTGGCTCTCGGCCTCGTCTTAAGACAAATAATGTGAATTTATTTCCATATTAAACATGTAAATGTATTTAGCTTCCAAAGTTATCTTCATAAGTGAATTGCATGTGCTCCTATTTCCTGATTTCGTTTTTCTTCATTGCAGCATAACCTACCTAATCTGAAAAGTAATAAATAAATAAATGCAACAGATTGTGATAAATAGTTTTTTATTTAGTGCAACAAATATGAGCACAAAATGACAACACAAACCAGTCATTTGCAAGGAATAGAAAATACCCTTTTGTATATCCTCCTGTGACGCCTTCTTTAATATTCATAGTGCTCATCTTATTCCAGAAATATAATGTTACCCAGTGAAAGCTCCTCCTGTGCTCAAGAGCAGCAAATTCATCAACAAAACAGGATATCACATATAAATGTAAAGCTTTTTTTTTCTGTTAACAACCAGCTTAATACAGATGAAACCGAGTGTGATGACCTTAAGAATTTAAGCTATTTTTTTAGGCTTCTGCTGGCATCATCTATGATTCACAGTTCTGTTCAGACAATTTTCTTCTTAACAGTACAAATGCATGGCTACAACATAAAGGCAACACAAAGCAATACTTCAATCGTATTTCACCACATGTTGCATTTAAAGGCAGCGTGATGTTGAATCTTTTTCTAACGTGACATTCATCCATTTGTTTTTATTTACACCCCCAGATCATGTTTGTTCCTGTGTTAAAGGAGAGCTACATCCATTATGTTGAAACCTGCATGACAGTTCATTACTAAGCAGCAATGTCTGGTAGTCCACAGTCATTTATGAATTTATGACTTTTCATTACATAAGCTACACACTGAAAAGATAAAAATGGGTTTAGAAAGTGCCCTTAATGCTATTTTTTTTCTCTTTTCTGTCCACGCTTTCTTAAAGTTTAAAATGTTGGACAAGTTTCTAACAACTAACTTCATATACATCCATGTCAGGCTTGTTGGTCATTTCTGGACATGAGTGGCAGGGAGACACAGACAGCTCATGCCTAGATGGGCAGGTTGGGCATCGTGGTCGTTTGAAACTGAAAAGCAAAGCGGCGCCTCCCAACACCTGTAGACACGAACCCAGCCACCCAAAGTAAAGCGAGCCAGCTGGATGCAAGTTGAGGTGTGGGTACCGTGGGTTATGAATCCTTTGACTTGGATCCATCCCGAGTCTTTTAAGGTTGTGGGTGTAAACCCCTAACGCAGTCAGGCTCAGCAGCCCTGCTGTCACCACCAGAAGTCCTCCTGAGGCTGCTACACCTCTTAGAGGGAGATCTGCCCAGCACCGGACCCCGATGCAAGCCAGGAGAATGCCAGTGCCGCACAGGAACAATGAGGTTAGCACCAAACCCTGTGCCAGACGAACCCTGGGGTCTCTCTGATACGGACCAGCCACAGGCCAGCACTGCCTCAAGTCAGAGCGCTCCACCTGCAGGCAGCTCTCCCATAGTCCATCAGAGCGCAACAAGATCAGTGCCTCCACTGAACTGGACCTGGTCCCATGACTTTTTGTTCCTGACCGGAGCAGACTTCCCGGTCCTGCCATTCCCAAATGTGCCTGTCCCTCTCTCCACTGGGGGGTGATGGCAGCAGTGAAGACTAGGACCAAACCCAAGGGGGCAAAAACGATCCCCATCACCATGGAGGCTGGAGTGTGCATCTTTTGTTCTCACAAATCCAGCTTGTCAGGAATAAAAAAAATAGTACAGTACCAGTGTTCAGTATGCTACAAATATTTTACAAAACACAAATAACAGTGGTTGTTTCTCCAGACAGAGACATCGCCTGCTGGTCAAATCTTGGCATGGTTTACTCTGCTCTAAAAGAAGAAGAAGAAGAAGAACAGTTAGATAAAATCCTGTGTTTAAAAAAAAATCAATTTGTGTCACAAACATCTCCTCCACTTTCTGACAAGAAACACAAAGAGCTTTAGAGAGCTATAAATAAGACTGTGGCAAATGCAAAGACAGTCACTACAACGATCACAACATTAAAGATTTAACACAATAAAATAAGAAAAAAGCTCGCCCAGTACCTCTTAAACGAAAGTCTCCTGTGTTTAATCTGCGGGCTCTTCATTCTGACTGCCTGAGTGAAAGAGAAGGTCAATGCGATGATGAGAGACAGAGAAAAGCAGAGGCAGAGCTGAAGTGGAGTAAACACAAGTGCACGAGCAGACGGAGAAAGCAGAAGGAGGTTTGGCTTCACTGCTCCTGCGCTGGACAGGGAAAAAAACACACACACACAAAAACCCAGAGCAGTCGATGGCTGCCTCTGTTGCTAGGATACAATAACCTGGCCAGGCTCAACGTGGCAGTATGCGTGTGCGGTTGTGTTTATCACAAGACTTCTCTCTGCACAAGATGTGATGATCTCATGTGTACAAATGGTACAAATGTTGGCATACTTGAGTTTAGTGTGTGCGTGCGTGCGTATGTGTGTGTATGATGAGTGTGCCACGGTTTTTTTTTTTATGTTTGAGGATTGATGGCCAGCTGTGACCTTGGTAGAATTCAGTCGGGTTAGTAATTATGTGAGGCCACTGTTTGAATGCAGAGTGAGTCTCAGACAGAACAGTAAAGAATGTCCCAGGAGAAGAGGACAGAGTGAAGACGTAAGTGAATCATGCAGACAAACAAGCCGGACATCTCTGTTAAACAAACAACGTCTGCAAAGATGTTATGATGACAATGCTGTAAGACGTGGCTCACTGTGGTTTTGCAAAGGAGGACGACTAGAAATGTTGAGGCTGTTTCTTATAATAATAATAACAACAACAACAACAACAACAACAACAATAATAATAATAATAATAATAATAATAATAATAATAATAATAATAATAATAATAATAATAAGCAGAAAATTATTATACCAAGCAAAATGTGTTTACACAAAAAAGTTTTTAACAAAGAAAAGTCTTTTTATCTAAGGCACATGATGATAAAGTGTCACAAAACATGCAAGCTGTTAGTGAGCTGTACACATAAGAATGCAAACATTTAAAAAGTAAAAAAAAAAGTGCAACTATAGTTTAACATATTAGATATTACACAGATTCTTATCCATCATTAATTGTTTAATCATCGTTTCTTTATTATTACAAATTATATATATATATACGATCCTGCATCTGAAGGTTAAGAAAACAAAGGAATGCCTATTTTTAAGCTTAACTTATAACTTACAGGAAGATATTGATCCAACAGCAATCACATTTGTAAATCTGACCTATAATTGATGGCGAGATATTACTTCCAGCAATGTCGCTTGGGAGCTGATGACATATAGCGTGACTGAGTCAGTCTTGTTCCTCTTTAATTTAATCGGAGATTACACTTTGCAAAGAAGCAGCTGTGGGCAGGAAAGGACAGAACGTACTAGAAAAATATTGTTTTAAACGTGCAGAGACAATTGTAGAAATTAGAGTAGAAATTTTGCATGAGAATGCATGTCTGGATGTGGATGCGGGACACATGATAGGATTGTAGCTTCATAAACACAAATATCACCTGCTTGACTTTAGTGACATGACATAAAAATCATAGAAGATGACAGAGACAAGAATCAAAGCTCTGAGCCGCCTGTGAGGGCTTTCATGTGCACCACAAAGTCTCACTTAGGTATGAATTATGTTCTATACACACTTGTTACTCTTGCAGCTGTCGCATTGCCAAGTCCATTGATTACTGCCACTGTAATGACTGTAAATGCAGTGCAGCTCCCTGAGGTGCTTGATTAGGTTTGATGCAGAAAAGAAAGACATAAAGAGGCCAGTCATGAGCCAAAAAATTCCAAGCATGCAGTACATTTTTAATAGCATTTTCCCTCAAGAAGGCGTATTTGGAGCAAATACAAACACATGCACGCACACCGACACAGTCCATGAAGTAGCAGTCACTTACCATTCAGGAGGGGTTTGTTTGTATCTCACTGCAGATCGCTGGCTGCCTCCCTGCTGTCGTCTGAATGGCTAACATGTTTCTCTCTGTGGGAGCAGATGGTGCGACGACTTCTTTATTGTTCTTTCTCCCTCTTTCTTCTCATCTGCCCTTGCTTTAAAAATTTCTCCACTTGCCTCTGCAATAATTTCCTCTGTCTTCATGTCTGTGTCCTTGTGTCTGCCCCCTCCTCTTTTTTTCCCCACTGGCTGCTTCCTCAGCTGTCTGCTTCTCTTCCCCGCTATCCCACTTTCTCCCTGGATGTGTTTCTCTCTTTGACTTGCCAACGTCTGTGTTATATCTAGGACAATCCCTCCCTGCTTTTCCCTGTCACTGTTGCCAAGTAGGGAATGTGGGGAGCTTTCTGAGTAATACCAACACTTCAATCTGCCTGTTTTCGACCACATAGAGGTGTTCGAAAATCAAAATCTGACTGCTTATTGTTTGCCTTTTTATGAAACCTGTTTTGTTTTGAGAACACAGACATAGGGACACAAGCTTGCACAATCACTCCCACACTGGCAGGTGTCCCAATTTATGTGGGACTGCAGAGCATTTTTATCCTTTTTCCTTCATGCCACATTTTGATTGGCTGAAACATGAAGTAAACACTGCAAGACAGGCACTGCAAAAGGGAAGAGAAGGCAGTCATAGTGGTCAAAGGGTAGTTTAACCTGTAGGTGTCTTTGGCTGGATACACTTTGAACATGGAAAGGTGTGAGCCACTAAAAAGTCACAGTTTGTGGAGATGCATTGGAGAAATACTGTATGATGAAAACTACTACAAACCTAGAAATGTCTTGATTGTTAGAGTTTTAATGTCAAAAAGAGATGCATACAGCTGCAACCCCAATAAAGCCTCAGGACAAAGAAGTTCCGTCACATGCCAGATCTATAACTCTTTCAGTTTGTGTGAAAAAAGTACATCCAATGATTGTTAATTGACAGAAGCACCTACAGCAGCATTGCTTTCTGTATGACCTTTACTCTCAAGGTCCTGCCACAGCATTTCAATAGGGTTGAGGTCCAGACATTCTGTTGTTCCTGGGATCACTGTCATGTTGTATGACCCAGTTTTAGCTTTAAAATTAGCTGTTGGACCGATGATCACATACTTGATTCTAGTGTAGACTCCAAGCTGCCTCGGTCCGAGTAAAAGGCTGTTAAACAATTGCAAAACAATTCTTCATACCTCCACCACTGTGCTCTACTGTTGGACAGTTGGTATGAGGTGCTTCCTGTGCTTCCTGCCTCTGTTTATCATGCTTTCACATCTCCTTTCCTAAGGACTTTGATCCAGACAGCTTGTTGTTCATATGCAACATTGTAAACCTAAGATGTATTTTTTTTTAGCATTGCACGACCTGACTTTTGGGTGAATTTGCAAGGACATCCATCCCTGAGAACATTGTGGCAATTCACCCGAAAGACAAAACTCCTAAACACAAACTTAACAATGTGGTGTATGCTGTACAGTGCAGCGAGGAATGCCCAGACCTCTACATTGGAGAGACCAAACAGCCACTTCACAAGCACATGGCACAACACAGAAGAGCCACCTCCACAGGACAAGACTCAGCAGTCCATCTGCCTCTTAAGGATAAAGGACACTCTTTTGAGGATGCCAATGTTCACATTTTGGACAGAGAGGACAGATGGTTTGAACGAGGAGTGAAAGAAGCCATCTATGTCCACTGTGAGCAACCATCTTTGAACAGAGGCCGGGGTTTACCACACCAACTCTTTGCCATCTATAATCCAGTTTTGAGATCCCTTCCCAGACGCCTTAACGCCCACTCACATCCTGGGCCATCTGACCTCAGGAATTCGAATGATAAGGTGGGGCCAGGTTTCACAATGAACACACCCGAAACTCTGGCAGACTGGGACTCACACCCAGTTTCACACCTTGGCTCAGAGGATCATCAGGGGGTCCTTTGTCCCTCTGTGGGGGGTCACTCCCACTAGGTTTATATCTGGGACTCTCCACCATTTGACCTTAGAACTGAAGAAGCTTCTCGGATGAGAGGTGAAACGTCTTCAAGCAACTTAAAGAAGTCCAGACGCTTTTCTTTGCAAGCTCCTTTGACTACGATGACCTGGATGACTGAGAACCTTCACAGACACATTGTGGCAATGTGTTAACACACACCTGAATCTTCTGGACCAGCAAACCACCAAAACATCTGCTTTTACAAAGGTTCTCACACTTCCTGATGATCAATTAAAACAAAGCAGCACCTAGCTGCTACTTAACCCCTTAATTCCTATGGAGGCAATTAGACAGTACTTCATTTTTTTACAGGACCGCATAGTCTTGTGAAAACGTTGTTTTTCAATGCTTTTTCACTTTTATTGACACCTCTCACAATGTCTCATGCAAATATACTATTTTCTGCACATTTGGTCTGTTGGAGTCTGAATAACACACACACACACACACACACACACACACACACACACACACACACACACACACACACACACACACACCTATTTAAAATTTATGCTTTCAGAATATGAGAGGACCAATCTCAGGCACAGATCAGTTTCATGCTTTTGTTTGATGTGTAGAGAGAGCAATCAGCTCTTTTTGAATTTTCCAATATGCACTTAATCTCCTAGGCTAATTGTAATTATTCACACCTCCTCTACACAAGTGGTATCTTTTGTTTTTCCCACTGCTAATTTATCTCTTTTTTATTTCAGTCAGAGCTGTAAAAACAGAAACAGACCCCAAACCTCTTATGCATTTTCTTTATTTTCATACAAAAGGGCCAATGCTTGACCAATATAACCTGATTGTAAAATTATGAAATAACGCAGGGATACATGCACGCTTTGAAATGATGCATAATGTATAAAGAAACAAACAAGTTTTTACACATGCATATACATGCACACAGTGAAAGTCCTCTGGCTGGGTTGAGGGTGTTTTTGAAGTGTTTCCAGAAAAAAAAAATTTGTGATATCACCATACAGTCAGGAAATGTCCACAATTTAGGGGCTAAATGATGACCAATACTAACTCATGTGTGGTTTTAAGGGTGGAAATGTCTGACTTTAGGTTCTGAATGCAACCCAGTGTTGGGTGATCTCGGTTGTGAAACTAACAGGAACCTAGAGGAGGATACTTTTGGCAGTAAAAAAAAATAGTGACAGCAGACTGAGAGTAAGAAAAAAACGCACCATTGTGTTTTTATAGAAGAAATGATGAGTACATCGCAAGCAGCTAGAATAGTAACCTATAAAAATGCTTAAAAAATGCTGTGCACAAATCATGCACGGAGCTCTTTCAATAAAAATGAAATACATAGCAGTTTATGGAAACTGGTATTCTATATGTACACAGATAGCTCATACAACACTGTCTTCTTAAAACCTATTTACATTAAATACATAAAGGGCCGCTGAGCATTATTGCTCTGACGTTAACACAATCACAAGAACGGGGAAGAAGAATGATATGTACAACATTTTAGGCAGAAGTAAAAAACTGGGGTGCTGCTTTCACTTCAGTTTTCTTCTCGCTTTTTGGAAGTCCACATCCTACATTCTGTCTGCTCAGGCAGTGCTTCAAGAAATTGATCAAACTGGCATCTTTATTTCTTCATCCTTCAGCAGAGTGGGTGGCTGATTCTTCTCATACTTCAACAAGGGTAACCTGGAACTGACCGTTGCCCAACTCGGAAACCTCGATGAGGAATGCCGACTGGTTGGTGTAGTGTTGGATGATGTTGTCATCCATGTTGACAAAGATCCTGTTGGGGAGACAAACAAAAAGACAGGGTTACACCGGGGACTGTGGAGAAACAAGGTGCAAAACCATTAACCTATTT